GATACTTGCAGTGTTTTTCCCAAGGATTGTTATCCAGCTCTTGTCCCAGTGATGTGTAGATAGTTTTCCTAGAATGTTCTTAGGCTCTTTCATATACATAAACAACTCTCTTTCTCTCTCTCTCTCTCTCTCTCTCTCTCTCTCTCTCTCTTCTACTCAGAAATGCTGCTTTAATTATTCCTTTGATTATTGTGTATACATATTCCAAATCTTGTCAAATACTCAAAAGCTATAATTGTTAGTCAAACTACATTTTCTGCATAATTATCCATCCTATCTCTATTCATGTTCATCTTTGTCCTTTACTTAATTTACTTAGATTGTTTGTCCTTCACAGGATTGTGTATATGTTTTCATCGCCAGTTCTCTTATATTATTAGAATAGAATGTTCAACAATAATAACTATCCTTAGTAGGGTCTTAGTGCTAAGTGACATGGGAAGTGCCTGCTGGGTGACATAAGGCTTGCTGAATCGACAGCCTTCATAGATAATGTGTTATAGAGAGTGAACACTGACAACAAGGAAAATGGGGATATGGTTATATGTTTTCCTTCTAGGTGACAGCAGTTTTAGTCTTTGCTAACTAACTGAATTATCCGTATACTAACTGATCATACCATAGAAGTGCCAGAAGGGTTAGTGAATATTTAAGTACTGGGCCTGGGTTGGGAGATTGGATTTATCTCTAGACTAGCGGCCTGGTGCAGGAATTCATGCACAGGTGGGGTCCCTTGGTCTGGCTGGTCATCGGGGCCGATCGGGGCCGATCAGGGTCAGCTGGCCGGGGGAAGGGACTGCGGGATGTTGGGCCATGGGAGGTTGGCTGTGGTAGCACACTGACCACCCAGCTAGTCAGGGAGGATGCAGGGGGTGCAGGAGGTTGGCTAGCCACAGGAGGTTGGCTGCGGGAGTGCACTGACCACCAGGGGGCAGCTTCTGCATTGAGCATCTGCCCCCTGGTGGTCATTGTGCATCATAGCTACCGTCTGGTCATCCGGTCATCTAGTCGTAATGGTCGCTTAGGCTTTTATATATATATATATATATATATATATACATACATATATATAGATGAGACTGAGAAGTAGACTTCATCAGTGTAACAAGTTTAGTGCCAACACACCCAATCAATTGCTCGCTCTTCTCCGAAGCACCATTTCATGGTGGGGAGATTCTCCCCAGAGTAAAATCACAATGTAAGGATCAACAAGTTTTCAGTTCTGCTGTTGCAGTTTATATTTCTTTGAAATCTTAGCTTACTCACTTCCTTACTTTATCATCTTTACAACTTACCCTGTTGTTTTATAAAATTTAATTCTGCTATTTATTACTGCAGCATTTGTTAAGCCTTTCTACACATTTCAGGGACCAGATCTTCCAAGCTACCACTAAACATGTCAAAGCTCTGAGTAACACCCTCTCCTGTGAGTGAGGGTGATGTTTTTGTTTTCTTGTGCTCCGGTACTTTGTGTGGTATGAGTCAGTTGACTCATTCTGAAATGATTCTTCCAGGCCTTGGGATCACCAATAGATAGTGTAGATTCCTCTCTCTGTCCAACTGCATTGTAGAAATCTTTCTTCCAAGCTGCCCGTTACCCAGCGTCTCTCAGGCAATTTGGGAGCTCTGTTTCCCTGCGATGGAATCTGGCCAGACCCTTTCCTCCTGCCTGTGCTTTGTCACTCTGGAATAGTGAGTCTCTGTGTAATAAATGACCACCAGCATTGCACTTTACACTCAAGTTCTTGCTATAGGTGCTGTAACTACAACATGGAATTTGCTGTGGCTGTAGTTCTGCTATACCACCGCCATCACCCTTCATGTTTTGTTTGAGTTAATCTTCAAATGGATGGATAAGGTGGTTCACAATAGAATAACCCAAATTTTACTTACAGAATGGTAGGGATTTCTCATTAGTTAACAACCTTCTCTAATTCAGGGTCCAGATGATGAAGTGTGAGCGCACTGCTTAAGTTTTCTAGGTAGGAAAAAAATGACTTCATTTAACCCAAAGCACATGTAAGTACCATATATTTTTCCTCTCAATCCATTTCCGTTGGAGAGGGAGAGGGAGATACTTTGGGGAGGAGTTGGTGAAGTACAGACAATAGCCAAATAAATACTCAATTAAAATATATTAGATGTTAGAAGTAAGAGTGGAGAAAAATAAAGATAGAAAGATGGAGAATTCATAATTCTTATTTCCCATTGTTACATGGTTTAAGCCTTGTCATCATAGTTATTTTTATGGGAAATTGGGTGAAGCTCTGTTAAATGGAAACAGCCAGTATTGTTGCTTGAAGTTGCTTTTAAACCAGAATCCAGCTATGCTTACATTTAATGGTTGGAAAACTACTGTTATTATTAATCTCTGGTGTGTGATATATTATAAAAAATGCTATGTCCACCGCCTGGCAGAAACTATGATATATGCTTGCTTAAGCCATTTTATTTAATCCTTACAACACCTCTAAAATAAGTATTATTTATCCCTCTGAAGCTGAAGGAAATAAGGCTTAGAGTGATTAAATAACTTGCCTGAGGGAACATAGCTAGCAAAAAACCCAAACCAGGATTTGAACTGGAACGTCTTTGATCCAAAGTTCGTATTTGTAATCACTACACCTTTCTCCTTCAAGCTCTGACTGAGCTAAGCAATATGAGCAAATTAACAAATCAATTGATTTCAATCCAAACTGTTTTCCAGAGCTTGCACATGATTTGGCCCCTGTCTATCTCTACAACTTTATTTTAGACCACATACCCCAGGCTCTCTGCCCCAGACCCCCGGCTTCCTTTTTCTTCCTTAGATACCACAGTTTGGAGACCTTGGCATATGCTGTTTCCTTAGTCTGCAGTCTTCTCTTTCCTCTTCCCCTCTCTCTATATGCTTGCCTCCTCCTTCTCTCCCAGGTCCTAGTTCACATATCATTTGCTCAGTCTTTTTTTGACCGCTGTATATATGGAAGCTGCTCTTCCCCTGTTATTTCTCCTGCCACCTGTTATTTCTGTCACAGCATGTAACCAATCTGGAATCAACCTATTCACTTGTTTCTCAGGTCTCTCCCTGCAGATTGTAAGCTCTGAGAGCAGGAACCTCCTGCCTCTTGGTTATTACTGCATTTACTGATCATGTATGGCAAGTTCTGCTCCAACCAATGTGGAAAAAACAATTGAATGAAAATTGGATGAATGATTTTGAAACATATATATTTGTTTCTACTTGAAAACAGTGTCTTTAAAATTTTTTCAATTAAATGTATTTGAAAATATCTGTGATAATTTTGAGTACTCTAAGTTTTTTATTTAAACTTTGACTTACTAGCGTAATCACAAACTATTCCAACTTCCTGCCGTAATAGATTTTTGCTTTGGGTTTGACATGCCCAATGGTCTTGATTAAATAACATGAAAATGAATATTTTAAATGTTTTTCTTGATTTTAGAGAGAGAAGAAGGAAGAGGGATAGAGAGATAGAAACATCATTGAGACAGAAACATAGATCAGCTGCCCTCCTATATGCCCCTAGTGGGGATTCAACCCGAAACCTGGGCATGTGCCCTTGACCAGGAATCAAACCAGTGACTTTGTTCACAGGTTGATTCTCAACCACTGTGCAACACCACCCAGGTGAAAATTGATATTATTTAATAAGAATTAAACTCTTTAGCTAATCAACTGCAATAGGATAATAGTGTTATATAATCATAACAGTTTTTAGCTAGATATGGACTTAGTATGCTCTCTACTCTCACTGAAATAATGTAGAAAGGTAAGAAGGCTTCTCAAAAGCTACCTGGGTAGACCCAGGTCCAGAAACGTGGACCAGGGCCCTTTCAGTGGTATTAGGTCAATCCTTACTGTGTTCCTTGCCCGCCCTACGGGAGCAATAGATTATGTATAGCATTTAATCAAAATAAATAAACTTGTATTTCAGAAAGAAAAGTATGAATATTAATCAAAGTTCCCAGTTTATCTAAAATCTATAAGAAATGAAATGGTAACATTCATGGGTGACTTAGCACTGAAACCATTGTACACTATTTCATCTAAGGCAGTTGTTACATAGACACAAGGCCTACAGGCTAGACTTTCTGCTAGAAATCAAAGGTGTCAGATTCAGGATGAAAGAATCACCAAGCTTTATACATTGTATTTTGTTCAACAGTTAACAATGGAAACTACTACATTCAAACCTCACATTCTTATTCAGAAATCAATTTTTTTTAAAAAATCAGATTTAATAAACTTTGAATTTTTATGAATCCGTCATATGTGACAAAAGAATTCCTCATCAGAAATATTTCTTGAATATATGGTTGTATTTGTGAACATAAGTTTACCCACATTTCTAAAACACAAGATATGATTTGCCTTCATGTCTTCTTAGAAGCCAAAGATTTATTTTCTAAGAGTCAAAGAAAACAAAAGTAAACTACATTGTCTTGTTTCTATAAGGAGATGAAGAAGGGAGGTGTCTTTCATCAATGGAAATGGTGTGTCCACTGAATATGGGCAGTGACTATATAAAGCATTCTAAGAAGTCCAAAAATAGTGTTGTTGCTAGGAAGTGACTCTTGTAAGACCAATGCAATTAAGGCCTGTATTGTCTGTCCTATTATTCTTATAAGGCCAGCAGCAACATTAGCTCACTTAATGTTTATACAGCAGAACGCAGATCTCAGTTTAGATAAATATGAAGTTTATCTTTTTTCTGTGAATCGGAGGAGTTTTAGGCTGACTCAGTAGAACTCCCATTTCTCTCCAGTGCTTGTTTATAGAACGATCCCAGGCTATGGAGAAAATATTATTCATCCCCAAATAACTGCATGCAAGTCATTGACTACTAGAGTCCAAGGGATTAACTTGTCAAAAATCTTCCTTGTAGAGATAAAGCTTTCCTGTCAAAAAATCTTCCTTGTAGAGATAAAGCTTGTCTTAGAATTCTGGTGACTATTATAATGAGGATTTATTTGTCTTTGTGTGTCTGTATGTGCAGGAATACATGGACTCCAATAAATACATTGAGCATCTCCTAACTCAACTCGAGGAGAAACACAGAAGTCTCTGGAGGTGAGTTAAGCCCATGTCCTCAACTTATAGCAGCCTCTATAGCTTTGATCTTGATCCTGGAGGCAGGGAATTGGAAAATGGTTTCTTGTTCCATTTGGTGCCAAAAGCATCATTGGGGACAAATATCACCAGAGGCAACCTAGAAAATTCTATTTCTCTAACTAAAGTAAAGCAGCAGAGCCAAAAGTTGTCTTTGAGTCAAGGACCTGCTCAGAGCTGGAAGGATGGTAGAAATTGGACAGATATTACTCAAGGTCAATTAATTAATTTGTTTAAGGCCATCTGGCAACCTTATATTGGAGCCCAAAGTTTCTGATACTTGCTTGCTTAAAGATTATTTAGGGTTTTCTATAATTAAAAGATAGGATGCTGCTTAAGATTCCTGCTTCTCCTTGTATTAAAAGGGAACATTTTGAGAATGCTGTTGTATAGATCCCAATGTTTTTGTTATAAATGGTAGTAAGGAAAGGTATGTGACAATATTTATGTAGGTAACTTGGAAAGTGATCAGTATCATAGAAGTCGTATTTTCAATTCATTCATTCCCTGGGGCCTCTTGGGAATTGAGACTGGCTAAGGATGTTTGTGATATTATTATCTCGACTTTTGGGATCCATTCAGTTATGCTCTTCACAGGTGCTGCTATGGAATTTGAATTCCGTTTTCTAAATTCCTATAGCTCTTGTTGTCTGGAATAAACACACTAGTGCTCATTTGTATGATGCCTCACATTGCCATGGAATTGTTTCACATAATTAGCTTTGTCTCCCAATGGTCAGTATTCCCCTAACGTCCTCTACTTCTTATCTCCTCGAGGCAGGAAGCAGAGTGTTCTCTCTGTTCACAGAGATGGCAGGTAAATATTTGCTAACCCTGTGGCTCTTTTATCCCACCTCAGCCAAATCCATCATCATTGGTCTCTCTACATCAGGCTATGCTGCCCCTTCTCTATGCATCTTGTAACAAATCCCAATAACCTTGGCATTCTTCTTCCTGAAGAATTCTAGTTTTTGGGTAAAGTGCCTGACACTTCCATTTGTCCTGCTCATATATTAGTTTTCCTACTAAAGAACAGATCTATGGTTATAGTGAAAGTATTCTATTTCTATACACGAAAATTGCTGGCAGGATACAACAGAAGTGTATAATCTTTAAGTTGGCTTGCCACTAACAGGCATGCCAGTTAATTTTCTGTAACTTGATGATGCAATACTTGCTAGACTTGTCTTTGCGAGCTATGACCTGGTGTTGATATAGTTTTCTTTTGTGAGCCAGTGTATTGTATTAATAAAATTAACAACAATAATTCAATAATGCATTTATGGTTATGTGCCTTTTAAATTACATTTTCCATAGATCTACTACAAAGTGTATTTAAAAGGTTATTTCACTGAATTGTAGCACTTTCTTTCAACTACTTGAACATTTTGTTATTTTCCAAGAGAAAAGTACATAAAAATGATGAATGCCCTATGACAAAGGAAATTTAGAGTTTAATTTGGTCAGTGAGTGTGTCTTATACACATCATTGGGAAGGGGTAATGATTTTATGGGTTTTTGAACCCAATACCTGCATGGAAAGAATATTTTCCTGCTTTCTCAAGGTAGCTAATAAAACCTTTCTGGTCTTCTCCAACATGATTAAGTTAAAATCCCATTTCAGGCACAGATTTAAACTAACATAAAGTAAGAGCTCAGAATTTTGTGTGCAGTCACTTCCATTTTCTTTCAGAAATGGAATTATTGCTGGTGAAGAAGCCCAGCCTTATATATAGTGGCAGAGGATCTAATAAAATGGCATTTGAATAACAATAAAGGGCAATAATGGCATTTGAATAGTCAGACTAACTGCCAGTGAGAAAATGGAAATGGGTAGTATTGAAAAGAAAATGAAAGCCAGTAATAGCAGATTTATATACTATTTATTGAATCATGAAATTATACTTGATCATATTTTGCAAATAGATCTGGACTTACTTAAAGTAATAGGCTTTATGATATGATTACAGTGTCATAACTGCAACCATAGCTGAATTGGTTTTGGTGAAGAATATGTGAATGGCAGTGAGCCGTGTGGGAAATTCTTTCAGGTTGTGATTACATTTTTAAACTGCTTTCTTGAGTTTGGGTAGACTCTTTGGTGTGCAGAGGATCATGGGAATAGCATGTGATGTACACAAACACAACTGGAATGTCTGAAGTTAAGCAAATGTCCCTATAACTCAATATAAAACTTTTTCTCTGACTTCATTATGTCTTTTATTTATTCCTGGTTCAGTTTTCATGAAGGAGGCCACTTTTCATTGCTCCTGATTTTAACTGATCGCCTTCCATTTATACTTGAGCTAAGGTAGAACTTAAAAGAAAGGACAAATTTTGAATATTTGGTTCTTCCAACAGTAATGATGGTCAGCATTAATTTATGGCCACAATCTTTGAGGATTGGTCAAAATCACATTAGATACATTTGCTGTTATTGACACTTGCTAAATAATTAAAGAATTTAGACAAATGGTAGAAGATTTGGGTACATGGCTTAAAAGCCTTTCCTTACTTTTTTTGTGGAGGGGGCTATTTGTCTTTCTTAGTTTTTAGTCATTTCTCATAGCATAACCAGTTGCTGTGACACAAATATATTGTTGTAATCATACTCTCAAGATAACTAGTTATTTTGGGGTCCTGCTTAGTATTCTACTGAAATAGACCTGTTAACTATCTGTGGGTTTTCAAATGATAAAGAATTTGTGAGGCCCAAAGATAGCCGTCTGGCCATGAGCAGTCATTTAGCTCAATTGTCTTTTTTGGCACCAACAGAAAACTTGTGTGAATTCATCTGAATAACAGGGCAGAGTCAGAATCTAGAACTCCGTCTAAGATTTGAGCAGGAGTCTGGGTGTGTTTGATGTGCTCTGCCCCTTCCTGCTTGACAATGAAAAGGATACAACCCATGGCCCCTTGTTTACTAGTTGATATTGAAATGTGACAATATATTTCTGCATATTTATTTGTTTTGCTGTGGAAAGTCAAGATTAGAAGGAAAGGCTCATTTGCACTTAATGATTTTTATATTATCTGTTACTATTTCTGATTTGACTAAATATATCAGTGACTGATACAGATTATAATAAAAACAGTTGCTGAGAATGTCTTTCTCTGAAATTTGAAAGAAACCTTTATCCATTTGCAGCCTCAAATTGAGAGTGTAGAACAAACAGTTGGAAAATACCAATCGAATTCATGAATATTTATGGTGTTAATAACTCTTTGATGTCTTGGAAGTGAAATTATGTATAAAAATGGAAATATCATGATACTATAGCAATGCAAAGAGGACTGGACTGGAGGTTTGCGAGACTTGGACTCTTGTCGTCACTTGCCAAGCTGGCTGTCAGGTGACATCTGAGACTGAGTTTCCATATCAGTAAAAGAAAGGTATCAATATAGCTAGTATTTAAGATTACAGAGCCCTGAGACCATATGAAACATAATGTTTAGTTTTACATTTATATAATATGTCAGACATGTAGAATCTCATTTTTCTATAATACTTGAATAATACAGCATGATCAACCTGTATTATATACATCCTGTATAATAAAAACCTAATATGGTAAGGGTCCGGTCATCCAGTCATCTGTTCAACCAATCAAAGTGTAATCTACACTAATAAAAGAGAAACATGCAAATTGGTATCACTCCACTACACCCACCAGCCAATCAGATCAACTATGCAAATTAACCCACCAAAGATGGCAATTCATTTGCATGTGTAGGTGTGGAGCGAAGAATGAAGGCTGAAGACTGAAGAGGTTTGGCTTCTCTGCTGCAGCCGCAGCGGAGAAGCCAAGCCTTGCTGTAGCTGGACCAAAGGCTTGGGTCTCAGGTGCTGGAGGAAAACCAGTGCCAGCAGTCAGGGGAAGGAAGGCCTATTGCGCGAATCTTTGTGCAATGGGCTTCTAGTGTGCTAATAATATGCTAAGGCTGCTCAACACTCGCTAAGATGTGCATTGATCACCAGGGGGCAGACAGTCGACCAGTCGCTATGACATGCACTGACCATCAGGGGGCAGATGCTCTGACTGGTAGGTTAGCTTGCTTCTGGGGTCCAGCCTATCAGGACTGAGTGAGATGGGCCAGACATGTCCTGGAGCCCCCCCGCAGTCCCTCCCATGCTGGCCAACCTCCTGCATCCCTCCCTGGCCCTGATCTGCACCGGTGGGGTCCCTCAGCCTGGCCTGCACCCTCTTGCAACCCAGAACCCCACAGAGGATGTCAGAGAGCCAGTTTCAGCCCTATCCTGCATGCCAGGCTGAGGGAACCCACTGGTGCACAAATTCATGCACTGGGCCTCTAGAATATATATATCACAGAAATCCTCAAGAATATGAGTAGAAGTGACTAATATGACAGAAATACCTATCAGTTGGCCAGTAACCCAACCAGATAATGTCAAAATTTTCATTTCAGATTTTCCTAGCTCAAATTAGAGACAGTGTTATCAAAAGCCTGTAAATAAATAAAGTAGTTCTGCATGAGGAAAATTAAATGACAATATCTGGCAAGTGCAGAGTGGCAACTGCCAGCCAACAGAGACCAGATCACCAAAGTGGGTGGTGGCAAGGGAGGGGTTGTCCTGTCCATTGTAAGATGTTTGGTATAATTTCCAGCTTCAACCCACTACATGCCAGTAACACCCCTCATTGTGACAGCCAGAAAAGAAATTCCCCAGACATTTTCCATATGTTCTCTAGAGATCAGAGTCCCCTCTCCTCCCCTTTGAGAACCAGTGATCTAAATCATTGATGCAAGCACTTTTCCAAGCACATGCCCAGAAATACTAATACCCTTTTTAGGGTCACTGATTTAGGTGTTTTAAAAACAATAAAGGTATTCTGTGGTCGTATTTGAAAGACACCAGGTAAAACCAAGCTTTAAAATTGTTTTAATTGCAGAACTTTTCAGAGTCAGTTATATTGCTAACATGTGCTGTATACATCAAATGCAGAATATGAAATATAATTTTGGCTTCTTAAAACAAACTCAGTCATATCTTTCTTGAACTATCTACTCTAAGGTTCCAGGAAACACATTTTGGGAAACGGTGATCTGGCCAGTTTGATAGCCAAATATAAACATGGCTCTACCCCCTCCTTTCCATTACTTCACTGTCCTGGGGTGGGTAACTAGTGAAAAAGCAGTTAGTGCTGTGCGAAGTCTGGGTTGTTGGTCAAAGGAGGAAGTAGGTGTCTGGGGAAGCCAACCCCAAGTTCTTCACCATTTTCTTGAAGGGTTGCCAGAGCCTCAAGACCAAATTCCAATAATCTGAATAACTGTTGATGACAAGTGATGTTTGCCCTGGTGATGCACTGAACTCCTCCTTTTCCGGGAGGAGAAATGATAGTTTCCACGTGACCAAGGGGAGGACAACACTTTATCAAAAAGCATCCATAGATCCCTGGTTAGATTAAGACTCCGTAAAACCTATCTCTTCTAACAATAAAATGTTGATTTTAAGGTATCCAAAATTCTTAAAAATAGACTTTTTCTTTGTGGCTTATGTGTGATTCTTATTCTAAAGAAAGAGAGGGGGGGATGGGCAAAAACTTTTTGTTGGTTCTCATCATGATTCAAAATATTGCTTATCTAAGTAGAGTGAACACTGAAATAAAATGGTCTACATTCCAAATATTCATTCATGTACTCCCTAATTTTGATATATTTTTATATTTTGGGGGGGTAGATACTTGGCACCACTGCCTACAGTTCATTTCAGCTCTAATCTTAATTTCCATAAAATCTGAGTGATATTAAAATTACTTACTGAGACACTGAATGCTATTCTATCCACAGAAAAAGAAAATCATTTGCTACCGTTATCTAGAAATTATCTTGCCTTTGTAAAACAGAGATAAGAAGAAAAAGCACGTATGCCCCAAGAAGTCAAGCCCAGAGTCTCTAGGAGAGTTACCTTCTATGCATCTTGAATCTCAGAATTGTATTATCCAGACATCTTAAGAATTAGCATGTCTCTATCCTCTTGGGGTTAGTTTATGTAGAAGGAGACGCCAAGTATTAAACAGGTTGCCTTTGCTGTAATCATAGACTTCCACTGGGAGATCTTAATTGGCAACAAGTAAAATTGCTCTGCATGAATTCTTAATGGTGGACACCACATAAAATAAGGAC